ATGTTATAACTAAACTTAAAAGTATGTGTTTTTGCCTTATTGAAAGTTTTGTAACCGTTTGTTACTAACCAGTTAATTCATTTTGTCTTCATGGGCTCCCGTACAAGGAAACATGGCGTCGCCCAGAGACTAAGGCCCGCTCCCATGTATTTTAGACCTTATGGTTATATGTTATGAAGCCTCCAAATTTTTTCAACAACTGGGCATCATTCAATTCACTCTCAACAACATTTTGATGGATGTTTCCAGAAATGAATGAATGGTAAAAACGACACATTGTCCCTTTAAGGCAGCTTTTGCGTGGTGATTCAAATAGCTCTTCAACAGGACATAGATCACACCTCCTGGTTTCCTCATTCTCACAGATACTGTCATTTTTAACAGCATTTGCGTGAACAGCTGTTTTTGTTTTCTCATAGTTTCTTCACTCCTCTGTTTCATTTTCTCTCTCAGAAGATCCTAAAAGATAATGTTATGTAGTTCTGCACACCAATGCACAGAGTTGCAGGGAGCAGGTCTCTCATGATACTACTGGACCAGTCGGTGTCAGTGAAGAAAATAACTGATGAGCCAGACTTTTGTGTGTTAATGGGGCAGTGGTTGAAAAATAAACTCCCACCAACTTTGTTTATGTCAAAAGCAGGCAGGACCAAAGTGACCATTGACCTGTCCAAGTTTGGTCGGCTGCTGTAACCTGATCATGCTGCATGCACATTTTATTTATTTATTAAACCAGGAAGGTCCCACTGGGCTTAAAAACCAAAGTCACAAAGTTTGCAACAAGTTGGGGACCCCAAGTATCCCAGACCTGAAGCCAACCTGGAAGTGACAAAAAATTGCAGTTCCACCCTCATCCACTAGGGGCTGGCCCCAGAAAGGAGAACATTCTCATTGACTCCCATGCTAAAAATGCCAGTTTCACAGTGCTGGCTCGTCCATAAGGGGCGCCAGGGCGCCGTCCCACCAGTCTCACAGTCTTCTGTGTATAATCTGTTTGTAACCCTTCCACTGTCCTATCAGGTAACCCCTCAAGGGCAGGGAGTGGTTAAACACGGTTGATGGTTTATCCCTTGGCAACGGTGATGTGGTGTATTCCTAAAAAATAAATAATAAAGCACTGGGGGCCCGTCTGACAC